TTTTTTTGGTTTTTCTCCGGTACCGGGAACCGAACTCACGACCTTGCGCATGCCAGGCAGGCGCTTTTGCCGCTGAGCTAAATCCCCAGCCCCCATTCTTTAGTTCTTACCTTGGACTTCACTTTCTCTCAGGAATCATCCCAGCTCACTAAAATCTGAGGGCAGCTCAGGTCCTCTTCTATAGCCCCAAGCACTTGGAGTTTTGCTATCTTCATACCTACTGCATCTGTGGGCATTGTTTGCTGGTCAACAGCTTCACTAGACTTTAAGGTCCAGTGTTCCATAAAGATACAGTACTTTGCTGGGTGCAAAATGGTGCACACCTGTAGTTCCAGGTCCTCAAGAAGTTGAGGGAAGCAGACTACTCAAGCCCAGGATTTCAGGGCCAGCCTCTGCAACATAAGGGATACCCTGCTTCTTAAGTAAAAATACAGTACCAGTATTGCTTATAACTATAAAATAATCCAGTGAGGACTTATATGTTTAATTGAGGTATAAGTAAAATACACAGATCTGAAGTTTAGTAGTGTAGGCAGTGGCTGAAGCTGGAAATTGGTCACATGTATAGGGGCAAGGCAAGGAAGGTCCAAGAACAAAGAATGCACAGGCAATGCAAGCTGCTTCACTCCAGAGAACACCAAGCACAGAGACAATCCAAGCAACTGATTGCTAGGTAAAGCTGTGTCACGTGACACCAACTTTTTCAAATGTGTAAATAAACATCCCAACAGTGGTTGAGCAGTTTCTTTCCTCCCATCAGGAGAAAGAGGGCTCCTCCCCACCTCAGCTTTGGTCTCTTTATTTTTCCCATCCTTCTACCATCCCCCCACCCACCCCAAACTTCAAGAGCTGCACAGGAGGAGGCACAGTAGAATGCAGTTCAGTATATTTTGGTACAATGTATGCACCCAGGTAACAATATCAAAATATAAATCACATCCACCATTCTGGAAGATCCCTTGTACTCTTTTCCATCAATTCCCAGTTCCCATCCCCAAGTAACCACATTTCTGCTTTCTATCTAGTTTTGTTTATCTTGGATTTGATATAAATTAAATCACACAGCATATACTTCTCTTATGTCTAGTTTCACTAACAATATGTATTAGATTCACCCATGCCATCACATATATTTATCAGAAATTTTGTCACCTTTTATTTCCGAGAAGCATATCATGTATGCATATAAACAATTTATCCATTCACCTAGCAACAGAGGTTTGGGGTCTTTATACATTTAATTGCATGTCATTTTCTTTATACATATTTTAATTTTCTTTTTTTTTATTTTAAAGAGAGTAGTGAATGAGAAACAAACAAACAAATAGAAGAGTAGCAACATACCAGTATCACAAACATAAACAAATCAAAGCAAGAACATTCAAACTGGTACAGAGTCTCAAGACAAAAATAATACAAATCAACAGTGGCTGTTATGTTACATATCACTATCCTCAACTATCCTCACTGCTCATATTACCAGATGTAAGAATGAAAGATTGCTCAAACCATTATAGGGAATAAGAAAATAATTCTTCGATAAAACAGTAGAGATAATACAGTTTCACTAGACAAGATGGTAGGAGTTCATCATTGTAATTCCGTTGCATATTGTTACCTTCAAATCAGTTGCTCAGACCACCAGACACAAGCATGCACAATCTATCAGAACATAAAAAATTATAATCATTAACTTTTCATTTCAGTACACCATCAGACATCAACAATACAGTCATCGCAGCTATTCATATATATTTATATTTTGCGTTTCTTCTTTCTTTTTCTGCTTTCACTCATCCCAGTCATTCCTTCCTTTGAGCAATTTCTTTCCTTTTCTATCATCTATTGTACGTTTTGAGTTTTACCTAGTCTTTCAGATTCCTACACCAAGGAGACAATATGATGTTTACCCATCTGGGTCCAATTTATTTCACTTGTGAGTATGGTCTCAAGTTGCATCCATTTATCTACAAAAGCCTTGAG